CCCCCCCAGGTGGTGGTAACCAACACAGTCCCCCATGAAGTACAGAAGCTACAGTGTCCCAAAATCAAGACGGTGGACGTCAGCATGATATTAGCCGAGGCCATCCGGCGCATCCACAACGGAGAGTCCATGGCGTACCTGTTCCGCAACATCACCACGGACGACTAAAGCTCAGAGGGAGAGGAGGAAGAGGAGGGAGAGGAGGAAGAGGAGGAAGAGGAGGAAGAGGAGGGAGAGGTGGGTGGGTCAGGGACTGAAGCAGGAGCACTCCTACCCAGTGCTGAAAAACATGCTAACGCCATGATCCATGTGTTGTATGTCAGGACTACATGTATCATTTAAAGAAGTTAAAAAAGTTAATACTATCTAGTTATTAAATTAAACTTCTTTTCAAAAGGTGTAAACATGTGCATTTTTAGTTTGAGAAAACCTGATAAAATGGCAAACTTTGATGTATGCACTCCTTCACGCTCCGCTTTTTCCAACTTTTGTAAAAAATGCTTTATATTTAAACAATTATTTTGTCTTACACCTCGTTACCTCATCTAAGGAATGAGCTTCAACAGCAATACATAAGAGAAACAGTTCTCCAGGATCAAGCGTTTGTGCTTTACTAACAATTCTCCATCTGTGACGGGGCTGTGACATCGTTGCATTAAATGCGTGTTATTTCAAACCAGAGTCAACACTTTTTTTGCTTATCGCTGCCCAAACTGATTTTATGCACCTTTTTTTAAATTATTAATATTTGGATGCTTGGTCAAATGTCCTATGTGACACAAAAAGGTTTTCAACACTGGTAGAAATGAATGGTACGTTTATGTTGTGTATATATTAGGGGGGCTAGTTCAACTAAATGATGACAACATATGTTACCTTCTGTTAGAGAACATCGTTTTGGTTAAGTGCTTCTGTTTGTTTCTGCTGGTACCTCTGTGCAGTGGAGGTTAATGGAATCTCATTTATGGTCCTCAAAGTTTCGATATGCTTTGTTTGAAAAAGTAAAATGAGCGGCTCAAAAAATGTAAATATGCCCCTGCAGAATTTCCAATGTAAAAGATTTAATCAACAAATGAAATTCTATTGACTTCCACTTTATTGCGCCTGTAACATAAATGAAACACGGTTTATATATTGTAGCATTTAGTTTGGATTTGTCTTTCCTACAGTTATTATTGTGTTTTATTTAAATGTACTGACCCTTTTAATATATACCATAGCACTAGACCAGAAGCACCAGACTGAACAAACATATTCTGGTACGGTTTTTATTTCAATTGACAGATAGTGTAATCACCACATGACGCACCAATGAATTACAAACCATGATTCTTAAATCGTGACTATGGCTCATTGCAGCAAAACATGTTGAAGTCTTAAGCTTGAGTGTTGAACCAGCACCTGAATGTACCAAAAAGGTGCTCTTTGAGTGGCTCCATGCTTAAGGTGCATCACTTTTTAGAAAGACAACCAAGAAAAAAAAGAACTATGGTGGGCTCTTAGGTTGTTTATGTACTGAACCAAAGTAATTGGAAACGGATGGCTGCTTTAAAGGAAGGATGTACAAAAAAAATAGCCAGCATTAATGTGAAATATGTGTGTATTTACTCAACTGGCGAAAAAAGCACTGTGGTCTTGATGTACATGTACAACATACTTTGATATTTTCCCATTTAAAAGCTGTGAACAAGCACCCCCTTTTTGTCCTCTGAATAAACTTCAAAGTGTGTATTTCTGTCAGGTTCAAGCCTTCTGCTCGGGGAAATATACTGAAAAAACCAACAATTATTCGTTCAATGTTTGTTCCCATCTCACATGTTGATATGTCTTCCATACTGAACGCCTTTTGCTACGTTTTGTTGTAATTATGGATACTGGGATTCTCCTGATGTGCTAATCGATGGGTATTTTCGATCCTTAATGCACACGATGGTGTTGTATAGGCACAGATGTGAAGGTTGTCGATATTAAATGCTGTTGCTATGCTGACTCAAATGTTATTCGTCACTGTTGTACTTCATGTCGTTTACGAATAAAATGTTCCCCTGACTTGATTTAGACTACACAACTCTGTCTAGCTTGTCTAACAAGTTGTATGAAAATACAACCGTTTCCTCTTGCTGTGTCTCATACCAAATAAGGAACTATCATACAAAATACTAAACAGGAATTAAAAGTAAAATGCAGAAATACATAAACTACAGACATGAATAGAATAAGATCAAAACAAAATGTGAAATGAAATACTTGACATTTAACCGTACATATTTGATTGACATGAACAATGGTAATCAACAGAATAGAGGTCATAAAAACATGTAAATACAGTATGGGTGAACAGGCCTACCTTTAACTGTTATGTGCAGTACATTAAATCTTGTTGAACTCGTATCAGTAATTTTCTAATTATCGTCCTTTACATGTGATGAAGTGACGTCAGAGATCCTATACTTGTTCAAAACTTTTCAGGTATATTTAAAACACTGAGGAGCTATGACCAAGTCTAGGAGCAGAGACAAACTAAAAGCACTTTATGGTAGACATTTCATCCTATAAAAATATGCTTCCATGTAAATCCTATCTACAACAGAGCCATATATCTGAGTTCACGACAACCTGAATGGAAAGTGTAGTTCCCACCTGAGCTTTAAAAAGGACGATCTGCCTCTCTGCGTCCGTCTGTGTGCCGAACAAGACGAGTTTCTGTCTCCTGCTGTGAACTGGCAGTGAGTTTAAACGGGATACAAAGAGGAACCTGAGATCTTATCATCATATGTTACTTCCTCGTCTGATTCTGGGAAAACAATGCACCGTGTCTATGAATGTTTTTTGGAAAGAGGAAGCATACCTTTTTACTCGTCCTCTCGGCCTTTAACAATCAGATGTTGTCAACACCACCTATGAAGGGCTCTGAGAGAACATCGAAAAGTTTATCAAGAATGAATTGAACCAGCCTTCGTATTTCATGGCAGGCATAAAGTAGGCCTATATATTTCTAAGTCAGAGTTTCAAATACTGTTTTAATTGTGGATATTTTCAAGAAACTGCACATCAACTAATATGACAAAATGAAACATAAACAAGTGCATTTTGAGTAGCTTATTTAACTGTTGGATTATAGGGTTATTCGTTTTACTTTCTATCATGCATTGAAGCAGGCATAAGAATCAGAAGCTGTTACATTCTCTCAGGTATTTTGGTTCCCCTATTTTCTTTTTTACGTTATTTAAAATTACCTGCTTCCCCATACAAAGAGAATTCATCTTTCTTTTGTATAAAATGACCACCAGAGGGCAATAAAACACAGAACAGAGATCGTGGAATTGGTTTTGTTTGTGTTGCCCCAATGCAAAATGTGCTTTATTTAATCAATACACTCGGTGTGAAGACCCTTTTCCAGGGATTTTTGGTACGTATACCACAAACAACAATCACTTTGAATACAGGCAGGTTGGTGGAGTGATGCTGCATCTATTTTGTATTCGTTTTACATTTCTGTTCAACAAGCACTATCAGTAAAAGGAAATAAGTTGTGTCAAAACAAGGCAAGTAGTAGTGGAGTAACAGTCATTTAATATGCCATTTGATTGTGGCTCAATGGTGCGACACACCTCCTCACACGTCTATGTGGGCGAGCTAAGAGGAAGAAGGATGAGCTCCAAGTCTTCTGAGGAATTTGAAAGTGTGCTTATCTAAATACCAGAGAGCTGTAAAGCTTCAGCTCAGATATCACATCTTGTCTTCTGTGTTATAATGAATCTTTATTTATATAGCACTCTTCATACAGCAGGCGCAGCTCAAAATGGCACACATCACACATTAAAGAAAACAAAAAGTAATATCCCTCAGATCAGATGTTATAAGATGTTGTTATGATAAAATAGTATTTTAATGGGTTAAGACACAAGGTAAAAGGTATAACAAAAACAATGAAGAAAGAGAATGATTCCTATCGAAAAAAAGACAAAATGAATTAAGTTAAAACCTAAAAAACCTTAAAAAATAAATAAAACAATATCAAATGAAGTCAATAATAAAGACTAGAACTCCATTTAAAAGGAAGGTGTTGCTAATAAAAACCTAATCTGAAAAGATGTGTCTTCAACTGTTGTTGAAAAATGTCCGCTAAATTGGCCTCTGCTATTTCCTGGTAGTGTTCCCCAGTTTAGGAGCAAAGTCAATACAATGTGTTATATGGGAATGCTTTTTTATAAGCTCTCAAATCTCTCAGAATCTCTGTAGCATATCCCAAAAATATGTGAAAATTATTATTATTATTATTATTGGCCTGCTGGAGCAGCTCTCTGAAAGCCTCTATCACGTTAAAATCCTTAATTGTTTTTTATATCTTCTATTTGTTATGTATTGATCTGATTTATTTGTCTGTTTAGCACTTTGTTTTTGAATGTAATTAAAAAAAAATAGTTTGGGTTAAAAAAACAAATATCTCTAAATGCAGGAAATACTTTCTGTAAGCCCTGTATTCAGTTCAGAATGTGATAACTTAATGTCATACCTTTATATTTTTCCATGTCTATATGTCCTCCGAAAGAGAAAAATGATATTTTTAATTTGCAAATAAATCCAGTGGATGACTCTCTGTGACATAGTGAAACTGTTCAAATTCCAATAAATTCCTGTTCAAATGATCAAACAATAAAAAAAGGGATTTATTAAGTCAAACAAAAAGAGGGATAAACATCATTAGTCATGTCAAAAGGCTGTATAATAACTCACAACATGTCTGATGTGCAGATATCAAAAATATAAACTGTTCTCCTTGTTGTTCACTTCTTAAAACAATCTTATGTCACACACATTTTTGCATTAATACCCATCACTTCACAGTTATTGCACTTCTCTAACACCTGTAACAAAAACTTCAAAATAAAACCTCACACATTTGAACATAACGCAGCTTCTACACAATGTATTACATCATCATTTTTGACAATCCCAGTAAGTGCACATTTGTTTTGTTTGAAAGAAAAAGCCAACCACATTCGTCGTTAATCTGATATCTGTTCTCATTGTAGAATCTCTGTGCCTCCAGTGCTGTTGCAGAGTTGGATATCATGCTTTCAAGCCAGAAGACATTCATTAAAGTCTTTAATACTGTCTCTTGGTATGTAGCTCCCCACCAAAAGAGTCCTTTCTGTCTCTCGTGAGCAGTTTTTTCATTCTCTTTTGGTGTTGTCGCCCACCGAGCAGCATCCTTATGTGATGAGGCAGCTGTTGGTCTTGTTCAGTTTGGGTAGTTTGCTTCTCTCCTTGGGGAAGGTTTCTCGTCTCCGGCACAGGGCCGGGCTGAACCTACTGGGCAGGTTGGCCTGCTGGAGCAGCTCTCTGAAAGCCTCCATCACGTTGACGTTGTCTTTGGCGGAGGACTCCATGAAGCTGTGGTTCCAGTCCTGCTCCAGCATGGACAGCACGTCCTTGCTGGACACCTGGCGCTCGTCCAGGCGGTCTATCTTGTTGCCTATCACCACAATTGGCGTGAACTTGTCCTCTTTGACCTCCAGGATCTCCTCTCGCAGAGTCTTCACCGCCTCCAGGGATTCTAGATCGTCCACGGCGTACACCAGGGCGAAGGCGTCGCTGTTCTGGATGGAGAGCTTCCTCATGGCGGGGAAGGAGTAGCTGCCACTGGTGTCCATGATGTTGATGGTGACTTTGACACCCGCCACCTCGTACTCCTTCCTGTGGAGCTCCTCCACTGTGCGCCGGTGCTTTGGCTCGAAGGTGTCTTTGAGGAATCGTTGGATCAGGGCTGTCTTCCCCACTCCTGCTGCTCCAAGAAACACCAGGCGCACCTCCGTCTTCTCCTTCACTTCAAAAGACATGATGAGTTTCTGTCTCTTTTCTCCAAAACACAGCTTGAAATAATCTCTTCTCCTCGGGATCCTTGCCTGAGAACTGGATTGATGTCAGTGATGGAGCTGGATACAGTTCTGTTTAAGAGATGATGAAAGCAGATGCATAAGAGTGCCTGTCAAAGCTGCTCTCTGTATTTATGTTGACACACAGCTCCTGCCTCCTCCTGCTGCCAGCAAATCAGGAGAGGGCAGTATTCCTGAGCTTATGGCAGCCAATCACAGTCACGAATGGAGGAGGTAAGGGAAAAACAAAAGGGTGAAAGAAAGGGATTGACTTCAAGTTCTTTGTATGCAATGCAGAAAACATTTTGGTACGTTCTGGACTACTGCTGCAAGGAGGATCAGCGATGGTCATAAATCCATCATCCTGCAATCAATCATCTCACTTTTTGTCAAAGATGTTGCATGTAAATCACAGTTAAAGTAGAAAATCAAATATGCATATAATTAACTCATGCTTCAATAATGATGTTCAGATCATTAAGATAACTGCGGTGAGAGCTTCAATCATACAAAAAGCAATAAGGAGTGACGACAGACATTTACCAAGCTGTCTCTGGTTTTATCTGCACTCATGATCAAGATATCACATCCATGTCAAGGACTGAGGAGATAGGGAGAGACGTTGTGCCCTATAGGTTTTCTTCTTACACAATTACTTCCATCACTTGGCCTAATAACAAAGCATTTCAACATGTTCTAAATGTCAGCTGTGTGGGAAGCTTCATGTCGCCATTTAATTCAGATGTACAAGACAGGCATCATTATCATAAGGACATGTCTCACATGCTCTCCACTCACTTACTTTGCCACTTGTTGCTATGATACCAACGAAGCCATTACCCAAGCTAGAAGGGGCTTATGAGTAGAAAATGTGCACCTTATTAAAGCTGTCATTCACTTCAATCGTTAACTCCGGATAATGGTAATGGCCAGTAATGGGGTATATTGGCCAATTAGGCAATTTAAAAGCACACTTCATGTCACCATTTATTTAATTTGCCTCACAATCTGAGTATGCACCTTTTGGCTTTTTAAGGTTGGATTGGTTAGTCTGTGCCTAAATTGCAGAGGTGGGGGACTCGAGTCACATGACTTGACTCAAGTCGCATATTTTTGGACTTGATACTTGCTTGACTAACATTGATAAAAGACTTAACTTGACTTTGACTTGCTATTCATGACTTGAGACTTGACTTGACTTGAGACAGATATGACTCGAAAGGACTAAATATTAGCGTTTTTGTATTTTACGGAGCCCCTAAAGGGCAATGAAAAAATAAATAAAAATAAATACTATATCTCGTTCGCATGACAAAATTACCGTAGCGCCAAGTAGGAAGTGGAGCGCACAGGAGAAAACCGTTTCATTGCAGACTGTTATGTTTATGTTGGAAATGGCAGTGCATACATTATTTTAGATATATTTTGAACTCGGACTCTTATTCACTTCATGAAATCGATACAGCACCAGGAGGCAGCGGGACGTGTAACTCCGCCTCTGAGAAGTGCAGCACCATGCAGCGCGCAAAGAGCTGCCTTTTACCCAACGCCTTCACTGTGTTGACTTTCATTGGAACAGCTGAAGAGCGACCGCAGGCTGCTTCGTTTTAACCACACACACCTATACACACATCGAACTGCCCGATGAATCACCCTATTACTCATTTTATGAATGAGATGTCAGGTCACTAAGGCGCATGTGTGTGTGCTCTGCTCAGCTCTGTGTGTGTGTGTGTGTGTGTGTGTGTGTGTGTGTGTGTGCGTGTGCGTGTGCGTGTGCGTGTGTGTTCGGTCTCGGTGTGTCTGTGTCTGTCCGACAACAGCATTTATTTTCAAATTACCATGAACAGTAATTTACACACATCTGGCCAACTCCATATGTATATGTAGGCAGGGCCAGCCCTAGACTTTTGGGGGCCCTAAGCGAGCTTTGGCTTGGGGGGCCCCCTCACTCTAGAGCGTTCTCACTACACACAATACGGAACCAACTTTTGTCTTATGATGTTAGCATAAGCACACATATTGTATAAATAAGCATGTAAACACCGTGGACCTAACCTCCTCTAGGAGGGCATGCTCCACTTTGAGAGCAAAATTAAGAGATCTATGGATACATCTCTCAACACCCATATGAAACAGAACTGTAAGCAGATTTTTCTTTATGAATATTTTACAAATCACTCCCCTTTC